TTTGAATGCAGAGTTCCAAAGAATAGCCAGGAGAGATAAGAAAGCCTTCCTCACTGATCAATGCAAAGAAACAGAGGAAAACAACAGAATGGGAAAGACTAGAGATCTCTTCAAGAAAATTAGAGATATCAAGGGAACATTTCAGGCAAAGATGGGTTCGATAAAGGACCAGAAATGGTATGGACCTAACAGAAGCAGAAGATATTAAGAAGAGGTGGCAAGAATACACAGAAGAACTGTACGAAAAAGATCTTCACTAGCCAGATAATCACGATGGTGTGATCACTCACCTAGAGCCAGACATCCTGGAATGTGAAGTCAAGTGGGCCTTAGAAAGCATCACTACGAACAAAACTAGTGGATGTGATAGAATTCCAGTTGAGCTATTTCAAATTCTGAAAGATGATGCTGTGAAAGTGCTGCACTCAATATGGCAGCAGATTTGGGAAACTCAGCAGTGGCCACAGGACTGGAAAAGGTCAGTTTTCATTCCAATCCCTAAGAAAGGCAATCCCAAAGAATGCTCAAACTACCGCATATGAGATTACCCAGCCTATAAAAACTAACCAGACCACATTTCATGGCTGCCCTTGCCCTCTGCAATGGCCTACCCTCTGTCTGTGGAGTGTGCTTCCCTCTGAATCTGAATAAATCCATTTCTTACCTATCACTTTGTCTCTTACTGAATTCTTTCAGTGATGAGCCATCAAGAATCTGAGCTTCACAACCTAGATGCCCATCAGCAGATGAATGGATGAGGAAGCTGTGGTACATATACACCATGGAATATTACTCAGCCATTAAAAAGAATTCATTTGAATCAGTTCTAATGAGATGGATGAAACTGGAGCCCATTATACAGAGCGAAGTAAGCCAGAAAGATCAAGACCATTACAGTATACTAACACATATATATGGAATTTAGAAAGATGGTAACGATAACCCTATATGCAAAACGGAAAAAGAGACTCAGATGTATAGAACAGACTTGTGGACTCTGGGAGAAGGCGAGGGTGGGATGTTTCAAGAGAACAGCATCGAAACATGTATATTATCTAGGGTGAAACAGATCACCAGCCCAGGTTGGGTGCATGAGACAAGTGCTCGGGCCTGGTGCACTGGGAAGACCCAGAGGGATCGGGTGGAGAGGGAGGTGGGAGGGGGGACCGGGATGGGGAATACATGTAAATCCATGGCTGATTCATTTCAATGTATGACAAAAACCACTGCAATGATGTAAAGTAATTAGCCTCCAACTAATAAAAATAAATGGAAAAAAAAAAAAAGAAGAAAGAATCTGAGCTTCATTAGGTCCTGAAACCAGGTACTGTGGGTTTTGTCTGGGCTCAAGTCCCAAACTGGCTTTCGGCTAGGTTTGAGTCCCAGCACATGGGTTCAAGTCCCAATTTGAGATAAACGGTTTCAAAACTACCACACAAGTGTGTTGACTTTACATGCTAGCTTCCTTGGACTTCCCTGGTGGCGCAGAAGGTAAAGCGTCTGCCTGCAACACAGGAGACTGGGGTTCAATCCCTGGGTCGGGAAGATCCCCTGGAGAAGGAAATGCAACCTACTCCAGTATTCTTGCCTGGAAAAGCCCATGGATGGAGGGAGCCTGATAGGCTACAGTCCATGGGACTGCAAAGTGTAGGACACAACTGAGCAACTTCACTTCCTTTCTTTCTTTCTTTACATGCTAGCAAGGAATACTCAAAAATCCTTCAAGCTAGGCTTAAGTAGTACATGAACCAAGAGCTTCCAGATGATCAAGCTGGATTTAGAAAAGGCAGGGGAACCAGAGATCAAATTGCCCACATCCACTGGATCACAGAAAAAACAAGGGAATTCCAGAAAAGCACCTACTTCTGCTTCCTTGACTATGTGAAAGCCTTTGACCCTGTGGATCACAACAAACTGTGGAAAATTCTTAAGAGAGATGGCAGTACCAGACCACCTTACCTGCCTCCTAAAAAACCTGTAGGCAGGTCAAGAAGCAGCATGAGACATGGATTCACTGAATCCAAAAGATAATAATTTAAGATTATAAAAATTCATAGCCAAACTGGTTAGAAAAAAAACTATGAAAAACTGTCAAAGCTTACTCAGCAAGAAACAGATAACCTAAACAGCCCTATATTTCTTTTTTAAATGATATCACAGTTAAAAATCTTCCTCTAAAGAAAACTCTAGGCCCAGATAGCTTTAAAAGTAAATACTAGCAAACATTAAGTAATATTACCTTATTTTTATATAAACTCTTCCAGAAAACAAGAGTAAATACTTGCAGTTCATTCTAATAAGCCCAGCACTCCTTGACACCAACACCAAAGCCATTGTAAGAAAAGCAATCTATTGGCCAACATCCCTCATGAAGAGAGCCAAAATTTTCTGTAAAATTTCTAAAAGTTGAATTAAACAGTATATAAAAATCATAACACACCAAGACCAAGTGGATTTTTTTATACAAACAGCTCATACAACTCAGTATTAGAAAAATAAACAACGTAATCAAATCGTAATACATCAAGACCAAGTGGGATTTTCCCAGGAATATAAGGTATTTTTTTTTAACACTGGAAAATCAACTAACATACTTCACCATATTAACAGATTAAAAAAAAAAAAACTATCAATACATCTATTATGAACAAATAGTCTCTTTAGCAAGAGATGTGGGGAAGTCCTGTCAATCAATGAATTTAGAACACTCCTTGACATCATATACAAAATTAAACTCAAAATGGTTTAATCACCTAAAACAAGACATGACACTATAAGATTCCTAGAAGAGAATGTAGGGAAAACATTCTCTGACAAAATCGTAACAGTATTCTTAGATCAGCCTCCCAAGGCAAAAGGAAAAAAAAAGGAAAAAATAAACAAAGAATTAATCAAACTTAAAAGCTTTTGCACAGCAAAAAACCATCAACAAAACAAAAACGCCAACAGGATGGGAGAATATATTCACAAAAAATACAAACAAGAGCTTCATTTCCAAAATATACATACAGTTCACATAACTCAATACCTGAAAAACAATACAATTAAAAAATGGCAGAAGACCTAAGTAGGCATCTCTTGAAAGAAGACATAGAAATGGCCAAAAGGCTCATGAAAAGATGTTCAATATTGCCAATTATTACAGAAATGCAAATCAAAATCACAATAAATTATCACTTCACCCTGATCAGAATGGTTATCAGAAAGTCAACAAATAATAAATGCTGGAGAAGATATTGAAAAAAGGGAACCCTCCCCTACACTGTCAGTGGGACTGTAAACTGGTATAGCCACTATGGAAAATACTATAGAGGTTCCTTAAAAAACTAAAAGTAGAGCTACCATATGGATCCAGCAATCCCACTTCTGGGCAAATATCCACAACAGACAATAATAATGCTAATACAAAAAGATACATGCACCCCAAAGTTTACAGCAGCACTATTTTCAACTGGTAAGTCATGGAAGCAACCTAAATGTTCACTGACATTTGAGTGGATAAAGATGTTATAATACACAAACACACACAATGTTCACAGATCAGGAAACTCAGTATTATTAAGGCATTAATACTTCCCCCCCAAAGATCTGTAGATTCACTGCAGTTTGATTCAAAATACCAGCAGTTTTATTTCTAAAAGCTGACAATCTAATTCTGAAATCCATATACAAATGCACAGACCCTAGAATAGCCCAAACAACTCTGAAAGAGTAAAATCTTGGAAGGTGGACCCTATCTGACCTCAAGCATCATTATAAATCTATAGTAATCAAGACTGTGTGGCATGGAACAGAATTAGAGTATAGAAATAGGCCCATACACAGATGGTCAACTGGCTTTCTACAAATGGAGGTAAAGGTAATTTAATAAAGAAAGGACAATCTGTTCTAAAAATGACTCAGGAAAAACTGAATTATCAACATTCAAATAAGTGGACTTTGATGTATAACTCACATCATAAACAAAAATGAACTCAAAATGGATCACAGACCTAAATGTAAAAGATAAAAATATAAAACTTTTAAAAGAAAACATATGCATCTGATAAATGACTTGCACCCAAAACACATAATGCTTCACAAAACTCGGTAATAACACAAATCAATAAAAAGGGAGAGGTGGTGGATAGATGTGGACACTTCACCAAAATAAATAAATAAATAGAAATAGCTAATATTCACATGGAAAGATGTTTAACGTAATTATAGGTCACTGAAGAAATGCAAATCAAAATCCTCTAGTGTCACCACCATCCCTTTCTGGATTACTGCAATAACCTCCTAATGGCCTCCTTCCTTTCACTCTTGACTCTCTATAGTCCATATACAACAAAGTAGCCACAGGTTCTTACAAAACCTAAGACCATGTTACATCTCAGCTCAAAACGCTAATGGCTCACTTTTCACTCAAATTAAAAACCTTCCACTGGCTTATACAGTCTTACAAGATTGGCCTTTACCCTGGCCTCTTCTCCTACTCAACCCCCTCACCTTCCTTTCACAGTACTATCCCAGCTGCCTGTCCCTGTCTCCGCTTGCTTTCATGTTAACCACATGATAACTCAGTAATATTTAACACTTACTAATACTTACTCTGAACCAGATATTGTTCTAACTGCTTTAAATGCACTTTACGAACGATGAAACTGAGTTACAGAGAGGTTAATTAACCTAAGAGTTAAGTCTGTAAGTGTTGAAGCCAGAATTCAAAATCACAGGTGGAAGAAGCCCACTGCACAGCCCAAAATATCCATGTCAATGATGTCCCCTACTTCTTAACATTCTTAAGAAATAAGCATAGAAAAAAGAGAAGATAGGATAAAGGACTAAGAGAGGGAAAATCAATGTGCTAGATGTAGTGTCAGAGACGTAAAATTGGTTAGGAGGAACCAGGACAATTCCTCAAGTATTTTCAAAATGCAGCATATAACTAGTTAAAAGGTAAAAGTCAGCACAAAACTAGGTATTACATAAATCAAACTATGACACTTAAAACTTACTTTTTCTGTAGTAACAGTCAAGGAAGGAACCAATGCAGGTGATGGTTCTGGTTGCTTCTTATGTTTTTGTTTGTGTTTGTCCTTTTCTTTATATTTCTGAAAATGAACAGAAGTAAAATATAATTTAAATTTAAATTATAACTGACATATACATGATAAAGATATTTCTTTATAATTACATTCAAGTAATTTAAAATATTAATAAATGCTTGTCAAAAAAAACAAACTCACTTCTAATCAGATATCATAAACAACACTAGTAATATACTGATGGCATTACTACACATATTACTACATATTACAATACATAGTACTACTACTGTAAGTTATATTAAGGTGATTTGTTTTCTTATCCTTGACCAACCTACAAGATAAACTGAAGTCTACATTTATAGCTGACAAACTATTTTTGTTCTATTAAAAATACCAAATGCTGTTATATACATTTCATAAATGGTACTTTAAAATTTATATATACTTTGACATGCACTATCACCTCATAATGGTATCAGATTCTCCAACACCATGCATTAAATTCTATGGCCCATAAACTACAAACCAGTGCACAGAAACTCAGATAAGAAATTCTTTTTGATGTTTACTCAGAAAATAGACCAATCAGTTATCTCTGCTAAAACTGATGAATTGAAATATAAAAAGAATTCAATTAATAAAAAATTAACTACACATTAGGAGACCAACTTTATTTAATATCAAAATACTTTAACCAAATTGTTCTCAACTGTTTGAATCAGTAGATTAGAGTATTGCATATGAAGTTTACCACTATTTAAAGAGTTAATTCAACTTCTTTCTCATAGTATTTAAGTTTAACCATTCAGAGCACTTAATCTATTCAAGCATGAAAGAATACTACCACTGGCCCTGCCCTAAAAGAGAGAGCACATCAGCAAAACAAAATGTGTACAAATTAAGGATAGATGTTTTACTATAATACCTAAGACTACTGCTCCTTCTTGTTTTTAATTACTGATTTAAGTACATAAGATACCTCTCTATAGCAAGGTTAATACTTTCGAAAAAGAAAACCTAAAATAAAAGTAACAGTTTTTATTCAGACTTTTTAGCAAATTTTGTTACTATGAAGTTATTTTAACTGTGACAGATCATAAGGAATCATGCCTCTAATTCTTTGTATGGGGATGTCATATACAAGTTGAGGAGCCAAGAGCTTTCAGAAGCCCTCTAGGGCTTTCACCTTTGCCGCCTTAGTTTCTAGTTATCATGTAGAGTCAGTTCACACTTTCCTGATAGAGAGGCTAGACAGAAAAAGAGGCCCCATGGAGAAGAACTGGGGTTAAGCCCTGCCTGCAGTCAGCAGCATGCCACTGGAGACACGTAAATAAGACTACCTTAGATCACCCACCAGCCACCAGCTGAGAGCAGGCTCGTGATCAGGCCCAGACGATACCATGTGAAGGAAACACAAACTGTGCTGAGCCCTAAACACTAAAAAATGTGTACCACTAAAAATCGTCAAGTGCTTTACCAAGCAATGTAGATAACTGAGACAAAACCAGAATTCACAACCAGATAGGAGTTAATGAAAGTACAAATTAAAAGTAACACATAATGGAATTTTTGTATTCACCAAAATAACAAATGTTAACTATATAATCTAGTTTATAAATATGATCCTTGACCGCAGTAAGTTCTATATCAATACTTTTCTCCCATAAAGATGATACAGGAGCCTCTCCATCCTTCTTCATGTTCTACTTCCCATACTGGGCTTTATTCATCAAGGGTACAAGAGCTGGGATAATTTTATATCTATTTTATAGAGAACAATGCTGAAAAACAAGATAAACAATCTCTACGGGGCTTCCCTGGTGGCTCAGTCAAGAATCTGCCTACAATGCAGGAGACTTGGTTCAATCCCTGGATCAGAAAGATCCCTGGAGAAGGGAACGGCAATCCACTCCAATATTCTTGCCTGGAGAGTCTCATGGACAGAGGAGCCTGGTGGGCTCCAGTTCACGGGGTCACAAAGAGCTGGACACAACTGAGAGAATAACACACTCACAAACAACAGCTACAATCTTGGAGAAAACAGAAGAATAAAAACTAACATATACATGTATATGTATGAAAACGTGAATGTATGTAAGACATAATGGAATAATACACCACTTTGGTCCTGTGTAATACACCAAGAAATATATGCTGAGATTGTAAATGTTCACTGGGAGAGATTGTGAATAGATTACATCCACAATATAGGCCTGTGAAATATGAATCAATGTAGTGTAACGACTTTCACACTAAAGAGAGAGACTGATTTTAACAGAAGAGGAAAAAAAATTCAGGAAAATACTCAGTTACATATAAATATTTAGCATATGACAAAGACAGGATTCCAAACCAGCAGGAAAGACTGAAATTATTTAATAATACTAGAAAAAGTGGTTAATAATGTAGGAAAATTTTTATACAAAAAAAGACAAAATTTAAACAGATTATTTTATAGTTTAACAAAAATTAAAATAATCTAAGAGGCTGAAGAAAATGTTTTTCAAAATTTGAAATTTAAAGAAGGAAAGACTTTTCTAAGCATAAAACAAAGTAAAAGTCAAATAGAAAAGGTGGTTTTAGCTATTCAAATTAAAATACTTCTGCATCAATTTGAACATCATTAAAAAGCCAAAAACAAACTGAGAAATAAGTTAACATGTTCTGTATTTTAGTGTTTAAAATGTTTATAAATCAGTAAGAAAAAATAAACATGCTATAAAACAATGCACAAAGGACAATTCACAAAAGAAACAAGCCACTAAACAAAAAAATGTGCAACCAAGTACTGAAGAACTAATGGCAATATTATTCTATTACCTAATTTTTTTAACACCAAAACTGTTGGATTTTTGTTTTTAATTTTAAGACCTAATTACCAAGTTACAGTGAAATGAGCACTTGCATACAATGCTAAAATAAAGAGAACGTAAATATGCAATGGACCATTTTAAACGTAAGAGTTAGAAACCATAGATATATTATCTGACTAGTAATTTCATCTCTAAAAAGTGAAGGTTCAAATATAGCTTATTATACTACTATTTGCAATGAGAAAAAAGCTGTAAATCATCTAAATGTTCAACAACACAGGTGTGGTTTAAAAAATTATTATACAACCATGTAATGGTCATTTTAAAAGTACATTCTGAAGGAATATTTAAAGATCTGGCAAAATGTTTAATATGAGTTTCACTTTAAAATTTATGTGAACAGTCAAGCTTGAGAAACGAAAACAAAGCTGAAGATGTCACAGTTCCTGATTTTAAACTATACTACACTGCTGGTAATCAAAACAGTATGGTACTAGCACAAAAACAGACAGAGATCAGCAGAATGGAAGTGTCCAGAAATAAACCCATATTTATAGGGTCAGCTGCGCTTCCCTGGTGGCTCAGACACTAAAGAAACTGCCTACAATGCAGGAGACCTGGGTTCGATCTCTGGGTCGGGAAGATCTCCTAGAGGAGGAAATGGCAACCAACTCCAGTATTTGTGCCATCAAGTCAGTGATGCCATCCAGCCATCTCACCCTCTGTCGCCCCCTTCTCCTCCTGCCCTCAATCTTTCCCGGCATCAGGGTCTTTTCAAATGAGTCAGCTCTTCTCATCAGGTGGCCAAAGTATTGGAGTTTCAGCTTCAACATCAGTCCTTCCAATGAACACCCAGGACTGATCTCCTTTAGGATGGACTGGTTGGATCTCCTTGTAGTCCAAGGGACTCTCAAGAGTCATCTCCAACACCACAGTCCAAAAGCATCAATTCTTCAGCACTCAGCCTTCTTTATAGTCCAACTCTCACAACCATACACAACCACTGGAAAAGCCATAGCCTTGACTAGATGGACCTTTGTTGGAAAAGTAATGTTTCTGCTTTTTAATATGCTGTCTAGGTTGGTCATAACTTTCCTTCCAAGGAGAAGTGTCTTTTAATTTCATGGATGCAGTCACCATCTGCGGTGATTTTGGAGCCCAGAAAACTAAAGTGAGCCGCTGTGTCCACTGTTTCCCCATCTATTTGTCATGAAGTGATGGGACCGGATGCCATGATCTTAGTTTTCTGAATGTTGAGCTTTAAGCCAACTTTTTCACTCACCTCTTTCACTTTCATCAAGAGGCTCTTTAGTTCTTCTTCACTTTCTGCCATAAGAGTGGTGTCATTTGCATATCTGAGGTTATTGATATTTCTCCCTGCAATCTTGATTCCAGCTTCTGCTTCCTCCAGCCCAGTGTTAATACTCCTACTTCCAATTATCTAAAATTCTGAAAATTCACAAAAACTCCCAAATCTGCAGAGAAACAACCTTTTCTTTTGCTTTTCCTGATTACTTAATTTGTTATTTCTTTACCTAAAGAGTAGTGCAGGCTTTAGAGCAGAAACAGGAAAAGCTAGGGAAAGGGAGAGTATTGACTCTTTGGAAGTAAATGATCTAGGCCAGGAATGAATTATATAACATTAGAGGGTATTCATAACTGTGTGAACTATCCCCACACAGTTAAGAAATTAAAATCTAGCACAAGATATTTAATCAAGAATTAGAAAAGAGAGCTGAGCCTGGGGTTCTACCAAAAACTGTATCCTGTCCCAGTTGAGCTTGTACGTTGCACCCTTGACATTTCCTCTGGAATCAGCAAGAGACACTTAGTCCTCAAACCCTAGCCTCAAAAATGTGAGAAGAGACTCAAGAAGTGGTCTTAACTGCTTTTGAACCATGGTGTTGGAGAAGACTCTTGAGAGTCCCTTGGACTGCAAGGAGATCCAACCAGTCCATCCTAAAAGAGATCAGTCCTGGGTGTTCACTGGAAGGACTGATGCTGAAGCTGAAACTCCAATACTTTGGCCACCTCGTGCGAAGAGTTGACTCATTGGAAAAGACCCTGATGCTGGGAGGGATTGGGGGCAGGAGGAGAGGGGGACGACAGAGGATGAGATGGCTGGATGGCACCACCGACTTGATGGACATGAGTTTGAGTAAACTCTGGGAGCTGGTGATGGACAGGGCCTTGCGTGCTGCGATTCATGGAGTCGCAGAGTCGTACATGACTGAGCGACTGAACTGAACT